ATCATAAAACCTCAGAAAAACTCTCACCAGATAGTTCTAAGAAAGCGTTCGCAAATGTGAAAGGGCAGAAGACATCAGAGAAACTTGCAAAAGGAAGCTCCGAAAAAATAGTTCCTATTGTTGAAAAGAGAAAAGTATCAGTAAAGAAATTTAAACGAAAGAATGAAATCCGGAACTCACCAGTTTCAAAAATACAAGACTCCAAACGTGACACCAGTAGCTACAAAGGAGTTGTTTCCTCTCTATTTAAGAACAATCCAAAAATACCAGTTATCGAAAGGTAAGCAGAATAAAGAATAATAATGATAATGATGGTGATGATATTGTGGTGATCTTCATGATGATATTGATTTGGATGATGATCATAATTGTTGCTCAGTGCAGACAGATGATGGTGATGAATTTGATTTAGTGATAATCATGGTGATGACAATTCACAGGGGTCGTTCTTATGTGGTTGTTAATGGCTGGTTTGGTTGGTATATAGTGATTCTGAGAACAATGCCTATGAAGTTGAGGTCAATGGGATAATTTTGATAATTAATACTTCCGCTAAAGCCCCCACCCCTTAGATATTGTTGCAAATGTGTGTTTGTGGGACAGCGCGTGTACTCTACAGCAGGGCTGGGAAAATCGCGAGACTACACGACTGGCGGTCGGAGGCATTTTTGGGGGGGGGGGAATTTAAAAAATAAAATGTTGGGCTATGCCGGAGGCATTTTAACAAGACAACTTTCATTTCTTAGGCAAAAACATTTTTTTCCAGGCCTGCCTTGTTCTGATTGGTCAGTCGTTAAGTTTGATAGACACTCCAGAAAGTCCAACTTGAATGATGACAGAAATAATTATGATATAAAATATAGTTTTTGATTGCTGAAGATTATCTTAAAGCCATGCTCGTGAGAAAAAAAATACCTTGCTATGTTGAATTTTCACTAGATGTGTGTTTGAAGAAGTACTAAAAAATTGTTAATAAGTATACTTTTTTGAATATTAAAAAATAGAAGGAAGGAAGTTTGTTACACCCCTGTTCCTCTTCTCTGTCTTAGAAAATTCAATTGTACAACGTATCAATTTTTGGTTAACCAACCTAGCCTTTAATTTTATCATTTTGATTACTTTGTTTTTCAAATCTTGTAGGAACACTGTCCAGCAGCATAATGAAGGGTTGTTTTCAGATTCCAACTTCAAGAACTTAAATCTTCATCCTTTCATGGTATGTATCATGTAGCTGATCGGTTGGACAAGAGTTTGTTCCTGCTTCTGGTGCTGGAGGCCAACGTTGGGTTTTACTTGAAGTCTGATCCCTTGGCTCCTTGAATAACCTGCATATAGAGTTGGGCAGGCTAAGGAGAATGTTTGTATCCGTGTGTTTCTGTTAAATATTTGTAGTTAAATCAGGTGGCGCTGCACTGCGGCTGCCACGGGTCCTCAGAGGCGAGCCCAAATTTCCTTCTCATCATCATCATCTTCATCCTCCTGATCATACTCATTCTCATCATCATCCTCCTGATCATCCTCATCCTGCTGATCATCATCATCATCATTATTATTATGTAAAGATAGGTTATAATATTGTAATCATGTTGTGTTCCTATTTAAAACTAGGTTTCGCTGATTTAAATACCTACAAAAATCCTTAAATTGATTACCAGACAATTTAAGGTTTATACAAAAGAATACAGCAAAGGCATTGTTTTATGTACACGTCCACTAAATGATGGGAAATTTCTTTTCTCGTTTAAATCCTTTAAATCTCCTTTGAATTCATAACTTACTTAAAATGTAACTTATTGTAAGTACAGTACTTTAAATATAGATTATATATCTTTCAATTCTTTTTGGCTCATTTCTAACAGTATATCTTTAATATGAAAATACATTCTACTGAACATATTTATTATATTGCAGATTTCAAACTTGGAGGAACGATTGAAGCTAAGTAAAGTGACCCAGGTACAGAATGAATCTATACCAGCAATTCTCAGTGCGCAAGATGTTCTCATCAAATCACAAACAGGAACTGGTAGCCATAATTTATATTTTACAATAGTTAAAAACACTTATATTTTTAAGTACAATGTCCAATAAACAACAAAGAAGGCATGTCACGGACTGAATCAGAATAATACAGTAGAAAGTGTATACAGTTGTCAGTATGTAATGAGAATATATGGTAGTAATACAATCCTTAAAGATGTCAGATTAGCTTGCTCATTTTGCAATTACATACAAGATTTTTACATGATAATGATAAAATTAATAAAAAAAACACTTCCAGTGACTGGGAGTGTTTCTATCATTTTTCGCTGGAAAATTATGGATGAACATTTTTTCAATAAACTAAATTATATATTCAAGTTTATGTTTATATTACTTCAAAATGAGCAATTTAATTTCAAAAATGATTTTTTTACTGATGAAATTTTGTTACATTCATGGAACAATATTTATACTATATATTATATATTTATTATTTAATTATAACATATTTATACTAGTGCAACACATAACAGTTGGGGTTGTTTGTTGGGGTGTTCCCTTACCTGTTGATTTAGGGGGGGGGGGCTTTGCTATTAAGCTCTATAATCACAGTTTAATAAATCTTAAAATGATTTCAGAGAAGATATCTTTCCGCTAAACTCTGCCCCTTGGATATTTTTGCTAAGGTCCCACAAAAGAAACTGCAGTGTAAAAACATACACAAACACGTGCATTTGTGGCCTGGGACAACACTCCATGTGGTTGTAGAACACACGCATATGCCTGGCCCTGTTCTGAAATAGTCAGTTGATATCTTTAATTGACATTCTGAAAAGTTCCATATTTTGGCTGCTGCAGAGGTGCATGGGCATATAAGGGAGCTTTCGATTTGTGTGACGACACGACGCTAGAACGGAATCACTCATGCGTGATCGTCCTACCGAGCGTCCTACGTTCTCT